GTTTGGTCTCCATGGTCCACTCAACCCTCAGCCTTCCAATAAGAGAACCAATTGTGAGGCTATTTTAAATGATGTGGATTATGCATGTCAGCCAATATACTACAGGTTTCAGAGTAACAGCCGTGTTAGTCTGTATTCGCAAAAAGAAAAGGAGTACTTGTGGCACCTTAGAGACTAACCAATTTATTTGAGCATGAGCTTTCGTGAGCTACAGCTCACTTCATCGGATGCATACCGTGGAAACTGCAGCAGACTTTATATACACACAGAGAATATGAAACAATACCTCCTCCCACCCCACTGTACTGCTGGTAATAGCTTATCTATTAATATTATTAAGATTATCTTATCTATCAATATACTAGTAGTTCTTCGCTGGCAACAGTAGATCTTTAGGTCCGCTGTACAAGTGGGGAAAGAGGCAGCAAAACTATTTCCCACCTCCCGCTTCTATATATACTTGGTGCAAAGAGCCACTCATCCATTCCCACAGATTGCTGAACCATATGATCAAAATGAACTCTGAGCATTCGTACAGCAGCAAAAGCATTATCAATGGCATGAACTTTGTCTCAAGTTGGAAGCCAGGGGCTAGACCCCAGGGAGCCCTAAGATACAGATTCCAGTCCTAACGGCCAAGATTCTATGGGCCTGTCACTTAACTTCTCTGCCTGTTGTCCCCATTGTAAAATCAGCTCCTACACAGCCCCCTTATGAGTAAAGAGCCCTTTCAGCTCCTCAGGAGGAAGGCTCTACAGAAGTAGAAAGTGTTACTTTGATGAACACTGTATAAAAAGGGAAATAAAAAAGGGATTAATTAGAAATAGGACTTTATTTCCCTCTCAGTGGGTTTTAGAGTTGCAGCATCGTTTTGTTTTACTGCTCCTAATTCACCATCTGGCAGCATCCAGAGGCCTCAAGCAGGACCAGGATCTCAAATGCGCTAGCTGCTGAACAAATACAGAAAGAAAGAAAGCTCTTGCTTGGGAGAATTCATTCAATTCCCAAACTACATTCAGCATTAAAGCATTGATTTAATTTCCATAGAGCTTTTGAAAGAAAGAGAACACAGAAGACTTCACGAAGGTGCATGTTAGCCTTGTGGAAACATGGATTTTCTTCTAATGACACATTCTGTATTGTGCCCCTCTTCTGGTAAACTGGCCTGGGCACTCACACCCAGAGCAAACACAGGAGTTTGATTTCAACTTATAAGTGAGCCAGGCAAGGCTAGCGTTCATGCAGAGCGCAACACAAAAATCGCACCCACCTCTTTCTTATTTTAGAAGATTCTGCAGAGAATCTGACATTTTGGGCAGTTATTAAAAAAAACAAAAACTCTCCCAGCAGTGGGTTCTTTTGTTTCTATTGAATTTAAACATTTTTACCCCAGGGGGCTGGGTTACAATCCCAACTCTGCCCCTGGCCGGTTTGGTGACCTTAGGCAAGTTACTTCCTGTCTCTGTACCTCTCTTTCTCTTTGTCTGTTATGCCTATTTAGATCCAGTTCCTTGAGGCGGGGACTGTTTCTTCCTATTTGTACAATGCCTCACACAATGGTGGCCTAAGCAGTTTGGGCCTCTGGGTGCTATCAATACAAATAATGCAAAACATTTTTGCTTGCCTGTTTGGTCTGGATGTTGGTTTGCAAGATTGATATTGAGCTTTTCTTTTCCTGCCTGGCTACCACATCACAGCTATGCATGTCTTACTTAGCCTGTCTCTAAACTATCTCCAACCATGCCTTCCAAAAGTTAAGCACTGAAGCCCAATTCCCAGAGGTACCAAACAGCCAAAGCATCTACTGACTGATGGGAGCTACAACTGTCCAGCACCTCTGAAAATCAGGCCCCTTAAATATAGTTACATGCCTAACTTTGGGCAGCAAAGATAAAAAATTCTGGCCTTAACACTTCATGCTGTAAAACCTAGACTCTTCCTTGGCAAGTGGATATATAATATAAACATGTTCTTTTTCTTCTTAATTCATGCTAGCTGGCCACTTTCCTCTCCTGTTTTAATGGTTGCCCATTTAAGGCATCAGGAGCGTTAAAGAAAAAAAGTAACGCATTCAAGCCCCACACTAATCAGATTATTTAAGACACACAGAGAGATGTGTGTGTGTGGAACGTGTCACTTACTTGTCACTCTTCACTTGAAGATAAGAAACTTTTAAAAAAGAGCGAGGGAGTATTGGATTCTGTGGGTAATGTGCATTTGCAGAAGGTGATGAACAGCTGAGAGAATAAGAAATGATAGATTTGAGTGAGTAGCGGTTTAAGGTGTAGGTGTGGAAAGTTATTTCAGGAATTAATGGGAACATAAGCAGGCACTCACAATTAGACCTTTAAATGTTGGAGGGGGAAAAAATACAGGTGGTTGCACAGATTACCTGGGGGTCGAGATCCACCAAGGGACTTAGGTTTTGCAACACTGAGTATTGCAGCACCCAACTTCAGACACCTAGAAAATCTAGGAACACTGGAATCCACAAAGTTAGGTGCCCGGGCTCCCTGTACAATGAATGGAGAGAGAGGGGCACCTAAGAATCCGACCCACAAAAGCCACCACCCTAGGCAGAAAGCCACCTAAGCTAGCCAGTGGGAGATGCTAACGAGAGGTGTGTGCACTAAGCCATGCCTCTCTCAGAAATAAGCGCCTAGGTCCAGGCTGCAGGGAGGTACCTGTCTCTGCTAAGCAACCCATGAATGAGCACCTGCTGCCTGGAGCCAGGTGGTTCCAGCACCAAAGGCATTTTTTGCAGGAACAAATTAATTGCCTGTCTCGCCCACACCAGAACAGGAGAACAAGGTGGTGGTGCCAGAGTCCACCTTATAACTTTTAGCCCAGTGGTTAGAGCACACACCTGGGATGTGGGACACCCAGGTTCAATACCCCCGAAGGATTTGGACAGAGACCACTCACCTCTCAGGAGCATGCTCTCACCACTGAGCTGTGGGACAGTCATTCTGACACGCACTCACAGGAAGAGTGGTTTTAAAGTTTTGTTTCTTGGACACCAATAGCTGGTCACAAACACAGGCCACACCCCTTTACTCAGGAAATGCTTAAAGGCAGTAAATTAGGGCATCCATATTTGGTGAAGCAAGTGCAATTAATAAGTGACACAGTTTAAAGGACATTTTAGGGCAGATTTGGGTAGAGTTAAATTGGGATGCTCAGGTCAGGGTATTTCAACAGTGCCTTTGTTCGAATGATCTGACTTTTACAAAGAAGTTAAGCCTCATCCTTATTACAGGCATTTCCTCATCTTAAACATGGGAAACCTAAAACGCAAAGAGGCTGTTCTAGGTCACAAAGTAAATCGATGGCAGAGCTGAAAATAGAACCCGGATCCCGTGCCCCCAGTCCTATGATTTATCCATAGGCCACGCTGCTGCTCATTCAGGAATAACTCCTTAATGTCTGTAGTCAAGGTTTTGTAAGAGCAGATCCCAACCGTTGCCACCAAGAGACTGTAGGCTTAACAGTCCAAAACACAACGTGCAGGTGACTGATTTGGAGGTCAGGTCTTGAAGGACAAAAAAATCTGCATTTAAAACAGCGAAGAAGCAGATACACTAGGTAGAATACAAGTCTTGTTTTTTAAAAAAAGCTTGTAAATCAGGACACAAAGGTTCACACAGAGATTGCTGGGAAGTAAACAGACAAAAATACCATAAGCAAAAAAATCCAACAAGATCAAGGTGTTTGTTTTTTTTAAGGGATCAGCTGATAAAAATGCAGTGACATAAGATATTCACAGCACTGATCAACTACTGGCCTACACCCATAAAAATACATTTATACATGGGGAAAAGACATCCAAGTATCTCACCCTCCAGCAAGCTAAAAGGCTCGAGGCTCGTATCCATTTTAAAACCTTTGTATGATTCCTGTGGCACTTCTACTGTGACACAGGTTGGGTAAGAGATAACCACCCAGGGCCATCTATCTTTCTCTCTCTCTCACACACACACACACACACACACACAGATAAGGGAAAAGTGTCCCAAGCCCAAGGCATCAGTTATTTCACAAAACAATGGAGTAAGCTGTTATGTACAAGTCAATGCGAGACAGAACAGTTTTAGTGTTCTTTGTATCCAGCTCTTCACAGTCTTTTGGATTCTTACACATGGATTCTTTTCAACACACTGGTACAGCTCACACAATATTTCAAGAGGAGTTCAAATGCTCGGCCCTTAAAAAACATTCAATAGATCTAATGAGGCTTAAACAGAGCTACAAGTGCCATCACCATGCCACTTTAAAAAAAAAAACAGTGGACAGATTTGGTGTTCATCGGAAGTGAAAACACAGAGGACTCTGGCTAGAACCAAGCATGAAGAATTTACATGCCCTTCAGTACTGACCTGTAACTCTCCTAATAGATCAGTCCTGGCCCTTTCAAGCAAAGATGGCCAATAATACGTGGTTTGACGAAGTGTCCACTTGGAGACCTTCAAACTATATGTAAACTGGGGCTCATACATAGATCTCCAGCTCTGGATGGCTAGTTGCATCAGCTCTCTCTCCTGGTTCTCATGGGTTTAATTTATGTATTTTGTCTAGGTTCAGGGGGAGGAATAAGAATTTCAAATTCTTTCCTTGGTACTTTTCTCTGCATTCTGGTATGGAAAAGATTTTCCCTAAAACAAGTCCTTAATGAGTCAGAAGAGAACAGAGAAACTGTTGCCTGTCCAGAGTCCCCAAATTACTTTGGATTGGGGAAACTGGAGGTTTATGAGCTGAGTAGAGATTCCACCATGAAGCATCAGAAAGAAAAATATCCCAGCCCACAGTTCTTTTCCAAAGCTTGCTGCTCACAGCAGATGTAGCATGATGTGCTCCATACTACAGCACTAGAACAAGGAAACCAGAAAAAGACAAAACAGCTCTTCAGCGGTGGGTTTCAAGAGAGTGCAATTAATTGAAAGCTACAAAAAACAGGATTCCAGACCAGTAAACAGAACCTGTGCAATCAAAACACACAGATGTGAATCTTTCAAAGGATTTATACTTAAAAACAAAACAAAACAAGCGTCAGTCACAATGAATGTGAAAAATCCATTCAAGAGGGCTTGTTTCCAGTTTGTTTGGAATGCTGCCGTCTCCTCTCTACTCCCAGCCTCCAGCTGAAAACACAATCGCTGGCACAGTGACAACTGGAGCTAGGTCCTTAAATCAGACTAGCTCTGCCAGATCCAGTACTCTGAACTTATCCAGGTTGTAGAAACAAGCCTTCACCACTCGTCCACCAAAGTATCTTCCATTCAGATCCACCACAGCTGGAATCCAAGCCAAAAACAGGTCACTAAACACCAAGTAAGGTAAGCAATTCTCCAGTTAACACAGTTCTGCTTGAAAAAAATAACTATTTTTAAAAATCAACTTTTGGAAATTAACAGGAATTATAGTGCAATCTCTGACCTTTAATTGCTGATTCAACCCTCTCAAACTCTAAAAATATTCTCACTGCTTCATCATCAGGGGCACCAGGAATCTGACAAAAGAGACAGTTGATCAGAATGGTCAAAATACAGCTATGAACTGTTGGGCTTTATAGGAAAAGCAGGTAGGATTAAAAACATACAGCAACCAGATGTGGTCCCATCAAGTTGCCAGCGTGGTACTCAGTGCTAGCCAGGCTGAGTCCCACTTCTCTCTGGGGAAAGGCTGTTCATTGGAACAGGTCTATAGCCATACGCTGCTACATGCCAAACTTCACAATAACTTGATGTACAAGGCGTGGCTATCCCAGCAAGAACCAAACAGTCCCAAGCACTTCCAGCTCAGCGTTTTTGCCTACTTCCTCATCTGAAAAGTTAAGCATTTATAGATGTGGTGGAGAAAGAGGTCAATTAATTCTTACCTCAAAGATGACACATTTCCCAACCTTGCCATATTTTTCACATTCTTCCTTGGTTTCACCTTCTAGATCTTCATCAACCTCTCCAGCACCTACCATGTTCTGCAAGTAAAGGGAGGAAAACCAATTCAACAGATGGATGCTAAACAAAGGGTGCATCCTGCCACCAGGGGGAGCATTATATTGAAACTATGAATGAGTTATAAGTGTCAGTTCATCAAATCATAGGCCACCCATTGTAGCATCACATGGTGCTAGACAATTCCCTGGCACTAACATGCTATCCTTGAGTTATTGTTTCCTTTGTATGGCCCACAGTCATGTTAACTGGTTAATACAGGACAGATCAGCTGTGTTATCACAAGTTATTGATCAAAACCTTGTACTTTCAATGTACTCAAATGGCAAAAAACAAAACTTCTTTTCAGTCCCCACGCTAGACACATCAAGACTAATAATCAGAGGTATTATGGCAACTGTTAGGTATTTTCCAACAACACAGCAGGACAAGAATAAGACCACAGTGCACAATGTGGGGGAAAAAAGTTTGCATCTCATGGAGCTTTCATAACAGGAGAAAAGGGTTTGAGCACTAAAATTGAAACACACAGTCTATATTACAAAATGTGAAGTTAAATGTCCTCCTGACTCACCCTTAATAAGACCACTTTCGTCGGGCACTTTAGTATCTCTGTTAATGGATTCGAATCAGTTTTCTTGGATGCATCTACTATAAAGAGAGTAAGTCATGGTATATGTTAAATTTTTTTAGAACATGTTCATTGGGGGGCCTACATCGAACTGTTCCAACAGCTGCATTCAGTTACAAACCACTAAATGTAGTCTCGGAGTAAAGGCCTTTCACTGAACCAAGTCACTTCATGGCTACTTGAACAATTACTAGAACAATTGGCTCCCTTTTAACAGGCTGTTCAGATCACTGACAGCACGAATACCAAGCTGAAATACAGGCAATGTTATATTTGCCAATAATCCTCTGTCAGTTTTAACAGATACCAAATCTTCTAAGGTTCACTGGACTTCAGATCAGGGGACTCTGCTCGGAAAGTATGATTTCAACCATGACTATAAAGTGTTACCAGGAAACGAAGGAGAAGGAGATCAGAACAAAAAGCAGCATTTACAAATGTGCAGTAGCTTTTGCACATTACATTTATCTCTTAATTTCCCAGTGGTGATAACCTGGAAGATGGCTGTTTTTAAGGGCTGTTAAGTGAGGGAGTTACTGTAGAGAGGAGAATGACTTTTACTTGGATTGTGTCCCAACTCACTCCACCCCTGGCACCTGTCCTCCATGCTTGGGCTGTGCTCACATGGAGCTCCCCTCTTGACCCGAGCTTTGGGCTGGAAAGCAGCAGCGGAAAAGACGGCTGCATCAAAGGTGCATGCTGAGAAAGAACCTGCTTGTGCAGGGAGCACATTTTAACAGGGAGATGAGATGGCAGGAAGGGGAGGTGCCCGACTACACTGAGGAAAGGCACAGAATGGAACTGGAGAGGGTGGTGGTGGAGAGGATGAAGAGCTGAAAATGTAAAGCAGTAGGGCACAGAGCAATTGTTAACACTTAAATTCTTCAATGTCCACAAAAAAAACCTGTCATCAGTCATCAATGTTCCACAACTAGTCGACATTGTGTACAAAGATATAGGGTAAACAAAACAAGAAAAGCCACCACTGAGCCGGATCCCTAACTTAACCCCTGTTTCCTTCTCAGAAACCGTCAAGGTGCACAGCTTCCCACAGAATGGAATCGAGTTACCTTTATCTGCAGCATCACCAACAATGATCTTTCCACCTCTCTTGCTTGTTTTTTCTACTGACAGTGCTGTGCTTAGCCCTTGTTCGTGCTTCCCCAGCCCTTGGCCCTCTCTGAAACCATACTTCTGCATGATTTTATGAGCTACGGTGCCTCTGTTGAGAGAAAAAGGACGGGTTGTCAACCATTCATTTCATTTCTTAAGCAGCACTGTCAACACAATTCATCTTAGTGCCCAAGGGAACTCAACATAGGCCCTCGCAATAAGCAGGTTCCAAATACTGCCCTGCAAAACCAACTGTTGTGTGCAGATGGTATCTACAGCTGCTCTGCCAAGGAGTTTACAACCCATGTCTTAGTTTAGTGTTGCCATAATATTTAAGAGAACATATAAAATAGTCTAACTCCTAAAATCTTATTACATGCAGATCGATTAGAAGAGCTTATATGGGAGCTTCTAACACCTAAAAATTTACAGCACTTTACAAAGCTGACTAACTATTATCATCCCCGGATTACAGATAGGGACACAGACAGTTCAATCACTGAATAAAGCTGCTCGCACTTGTTAGGTATAGCATGACTTTCATTAGCAACGAACGTAAGTGTCACAGATTCCACAGAAACAGCCAGAATGGATCAGACTCAAGGGCCAGATACTCCAGTATCTTGTCTCTGACAGTATCCACCATGAGATGCTTCAGATGAAAGCATAAGAACTCTGCAGTAGCAGATGTGGGGCAATCTGTCCTCCATATTAGGTCACAGATAGGCTTAGGTCCTGAAGCTCAATATCCCTTTCACAAAACTATTATCATTATGACAACTCAGGATATTCTCAATACCCATTTAATGTCCAACCCCTTTCTGAATCTTGTTCTTTGTCTTAAATGACATCACGTGGCAATGACTTCCACTGTTTAATGACATATTGTATGAAAAAGTATTTCCTTGTATTTGGTCTTGATTTTTCCACCTTTTAATTCTCCATGGAAAAAATTGTGAGTCAACAGTTCGCTACACAACCAAACAAGTATGGGCCTTTTCAAAACACAACTTGTGTTATGTCTTTTCAACATTTCATTTGCAGATCATGAATGGATGGGTCAAGATGTGACAGGCCTTACAAGACTACAGAAGTTTACACTGCACCACAGTATAAAGATCCCGCTCTCTGAAAAGATTATTTTTTAACTTGATAGGAATGAAAGATTATAAAGAGAAATGAAAGATCAGTGACCATTTAGCTATTTCTCAAATGCACAATACAGTCTAATACAAATATTAAAAGTAGTTGAAAGCTCTGGATCACTGATTCAAAATAAGGTCTCCAGACAATCCTAACCAGAGAAAATAACTAGGTCTGACTCAATAGATTGGGGGAATCCTTTTTCAGATCGGATGAAAAAACCTTATTAGAAAAACTGCATGAAAAACAAAGTATATAAATATAGAAAAAGTGAGCTATTAGTATTCTATAAAATACTTGTACACTTTCATGGCTGGTTTCAGAGTAGCAGCCGTGTTAGTCTGTATCTGCAAAAAGAAAAGGAGTACTTGTGGCACCTTAGAGACAAATTTTACTTCAGCATAAGCTTTCGTGAGCTGCAGCATCCGATGAAGCGAGCTGTAGCTCACTAAAGCTTATAGCTCAAATAAAATTGTTAGTCTCTAAGGTGCCACAAGTCCTCCGTTTCTTTTTACTTTCATGGCTGTGACTCTTGTGAGTGCTCGTACTGTAATTACCCTGCAGTTACATAAAAATTAACATGCGTGGAGTTGAATATAAATCGTAATTATCACATATAAATATTACACCTTTCAACTGAGGTCTCCAAGCACGTTATAAACATTAATTAAGCCTCGCTATATTCCCCTAGCTGGAATTATAAGCAGTTTTACAGAAGAGTAAATGGAGGCACAGATTGAGTAAGGGTGTGGCGCCCACAGCTGCCACTAACTTCAAACAGAGTTGAGATGCTCAATGCCTCTGAAAAAAAAAAAATCAGTGATTTGCTCAAGGTTACACACAACACGCCTCTGACAAAGGCAGGAAAAAGCACTCAGGGTCTTGAACTAGCCACATGTACTTACAAATTGGCCACACCAGCTTGGCATGGGCAAGCCATAAACCTTTATACTGGAGAGGGCTCCAGAACTCACTAAAAACTGGCCATTCCTCCTCAAACTCATTGGCCCAATTCACACAAAACCATTGTGTACTACATTTCCTGCTGGGTGGGCATGTATGCATTCAGATTAAGTTATTACAGTGAAGAATATACATGCAAAGACTGTGTGTTCTTCTGCACACCGGGACAACATTTTTAACTTTCATCCTCTGCCCCGGCAAGGCACTTCTCATGAAATGTTAACTTGTCAATGATACTTACCCCATGTTAGCAAGGAAAGAATTACTAGGCCCTGTTGGGGACCGCGGTCTTTCTGGCTCATCATACACCGGGGGAGGAATAGCTGCTTTGGCAGATGGTGCACGAGGTCTTGACTCCTCTTCAAATGGAAAGGATGGTACAGCTGGAAGAAACATGAGACATTTACTAGTTGGTCAAAATACATTTGATGAACTATATAGGTCATCACTTCCCACCATTTTCAAATCTCATCTAACAGCATCATGGGCCTCTCTCTCATTTACACTGAGGCCTCTTAAAGATAGCGTAAATATAATTTGCCTGTTAAGGTCCTTTATACTGCCAGAGTAAGACAATGCGGTCTTAGGCTTGGTCTACGGGGCGTGGGGGGATCGATCTAAGTTACGCAACTTCAGCTATGTGAATAACATAGCTGAAGTTGACATACTTAGATCTACTTACCGTGGTGTCTTCACTGAGGTAAGTCGACGACTGACACTCTCCCGTGGACTCCGCCTGCGCCTCTCACCCTGGTAGAGTACTGGAGTCGACAGGAGAGCGCTCGACGGTCAATTTATCGCATCTAGACTAGAAGCGATAAATTGACCCCCGCTGGATCGATCGCTGCCCGTTGATCCAGCAGGTAATATAGACAAGCCCTTAGCGTAAATGAGAATCAGGCCCTTTATTTTCCTTGCTCATACAACTTACTATGTCTCCTCTCCACTATTAATTCTCTCTGTAACTAGGTTTAACCTCTGAAGTGTTTGGGGATATATTTGTATGGCATATTACACTGATTCTTTGTTTCTACAGGTAATAAGGGCTCTATCATCTCTACTTAGCTGCCCTTCGTTAGTTTGTTTCAATTCCCCATTGCATCTTAAGGCCATTTGTCTCCTCAACAGTAAATTCTCTGGAAAGAGGGAACCCAAACATATGTTCTTTAATCACGAATTGAATTATAGAAAGATTGGGTTATGCACAAAATTTGGTAACAAGAAGCTTAAAAGGAGTGCTCTGTACTCTTATGCATCGGAAGAATGACTCCTTAAGACAGAACTAATGCAACTTAAAAACTGTGTGTTGAAAGGCTCCTTTTCTGTTGATAGCTTTGGAATAACAGATTCCCAAGTGAGATGAGCATATCAGTCTCACAAGTCAAGTCAAACTATGGTGGTGCTAAAGAAAGTGGCAGACAAGTGTGAAGTTGCGAGTGAGTTTGCATATATAATACTATGATTTCATTTCAGAGTGATTACTTCTGTTAATTACTAATTGTACCTAAACAAAAAGTTAGACGTCAGTTTGGGGAAATCATAGAAGCGGAGACAGAAGAGACCTCAAGGTAATCCAGGTAATGGATTCAGGTAATCCAGTCCATCTACTGTCCAAATGCAAGACTGTTCCCTGTAGTAATTTTTTTTTAGGGTTTGTCCAGTCTAGATATAAGTGTCTCAGGAAATAAGGCTTACATTGATTCCCTTATGAGATCATTTCACACTTTAAGAGATCATGCCCTTAGGTTATTTTTTCTGAGTTCCAGCCTATATTTAACATTCCTTGACTCTATCCAATTGCTCTTAACTATACTCCCCTAAACAATTCTTCTTTGTCTTTGGTGTTTACAACCTTAAATATTTGCAGAAATTTATGTCCCCACTTAGTCTTAGTCAACCTTTACATCTCAATTCCCTGCCCTCCACCACCACCTTATTCTGATAAATCATTTCAGGACTCCCAAGGGAAAGAGTTCTTTATGTATAAAATATTCACAAACACATTTATACTTGTACATGCATAATGAGATGTTAATGAATTTTAATTAAAAGCTAAAACTACAAAACAAATGTCAAAAAAGTTTGAGTGTGCTTTTTATTTTATTTAAATTATAATTTTTCTTTTTAAAAATAAACTTGCTTGAAATGAAATCTGAATTTAATACAAAATATGTTAAGGTGTAAACTTATCAGAATCTCTTAAAACATTTAAATAAAAATGAATATGCTGAATCCATAAGCTTCTATAAAAAATTCTGAGTTAAAGGCTGCTTTTCTATATAAAGAAAAATGTTTTTCCATTGATTCTAACCTGTGAGGTCAAGCTTTATACATATGGCACAGAAGGTCATGTACCATATTTAGGACTTGTATTGTTTAATAAAAGTAAATTTTATATGATAATTTGTGTGTTTAATTAGATTCTAGTTACCATCCTAATGCAGCTTGATGTAAATCATGAGCAAAGAGTTAATTATCTAGTAAACAATTATCGTTCACTATTTTCTAACGCAATAAAAATATACAATTAATAAGAATCAGAAAATATTAAGCTATGTAATTGCTTAAATAAAGATATATAGTTATAATGCACCTTCCCAGGTAGCAAAAAGTAATGCAAAGGCTCTATTTAATTGTAAAGCAACATGTTTTAATGGTTATATCAACGAACGAAAATGCACCTTTCTTTAGAAAATAATTGAAATAAAAATGGAAAAGTTGATTAAAATTGATGATTTAAACTGAGGCTTTCCACTTGGTGATTTAAATCGCCTTGATTTAAATGCCCCGATACACATATTGCAATCTTGTCTTTAAAACTAATGTCACTGAGAAACTGAGAACCACCCAGCCCTCACCTCCCAAGGGATAAACTCCCATCCCTACACACAGACCCTTGAAACAGAACATGTACAAGAGTACCCAGGGGTGTGGGAAGGGTGGAGAAATCCTCCCCTGCCCACCAATATGGAGCGAAACAGCTCTGCAGCTGCATGGTTGGTCTACCTGCTGCACTTCCTCCTTTATGTAGCATGTGAATGGCTGACACAATCCATGCCATTATGGACCAGCCAGTTATACCACTCCTCACAGAAGAAAACGCTGTGAACTGCAGCTCTGAAGCATGCAGGTGGTGCAAATCCCCTGCTCAAGTTCCGAGCACCCTGTCCCCCTACCCTCTGCAGCCAGGGACCTCCATGCCTGTGCAGGGGAACGGCAGGATCTGTCCCTCGCTGAGCAGAAAGTTTAAGTAGGGACTTAAACTGTTTTTCAAGGGTTAGAAAATGTAAAGGTCAAAGCATTGATTTTGATATACATACGTTCTTTGTCCTTCTCAACAAGAGACGTAGGTGGTGCAATGGCAGCACCTCCCATGCCTGTGAATGAAATTATAAATCATGTGATTGGAATGTAAGACATTCATGCAGATGAAGTGTTTTGTCATTTGAGATAACAAAACTCTTCCGGACACATTAATGCAAGGCGGCCACCGGAAGCACAAACATACAACCCCAGGACTCCTACAAGAAATCATGGTGCTCGCTGAAGGACTTTGCACACACATTTTTATATAGCTTGCTGCCAATAACAAGCATCAAAGTGGTGGAAAAAGCATCTGACTCTGGAAATCTTAACGGTGATAGTTAATAAACTGTTGCAAACTTAAGATTTCTAATATATCAAAGGATACCATATCATACCAAGCCTATGTGCTACGGGGATGTGAATAAAAATTATGCAATACAACTGCCTTAAAATCAATACCCGTGATTTTGGAAGACTGTAGCAATAAAGACCGCAGCAGTAAAGACTGCATTAAAATGGAACCTCAACTCAAAGATTGTCTGCTCATCAAGCCAACTAAAAAATTATATTGTACTCAAGGACAATTACATTAACACAAGAGTGCGAAACAGACGGCCTTTTCCAGTCAGGGAAGCGTGAATGGCAAAGTAGTTCTAAACATACACTACAGAACATACGCGTTTTATTAAACATAGCCTTGTTTCAAAAATGAAGATCTAAAGAAGTGGGTCTGTATTACCAACGGTGAATCTGCTACTGAAATTCAGAGCAGATTTTTAGTTTCTCTGAACTGAGAGAGATACCCATCCACACAGAGCTGCATTTTATTATGTGGCTCCAAGGGCTTTCAAATAAGGAGAGGTGCAGTGATTGCACACATTAAGAGAAGTCAGAGCTCAATCTTTTAAAATCAAACCACAAGAATGAGCTCATGCACCTCTGTTCACTGGAGCCTACATCATTCAGAAATCTCTAACGCGTGTATCTAAAAACTAATGTTAAAAGGGAATTTCAAAGGCAAAAAAGGGGTCTCTTTTACCCCCAAAAAAGAATGTGGTTTCCTACTCTACAACAGCTACTCCATAATAAAGTGACAAATGTATTATAGGAGGCCAATGGACACTAGATTCTTGGGGTGAGAGGGAAGGAATAGTTTACAGCAAAAAACTGACTGCAGAGAATTTGATTTGCCCAAGGACATAAAGTTAGACAATTCTCCTCTTACTTCTTTTCCTCCTCTCTCTCTCATAATCTTCATCTTCATCAGAATCTGGATCTGGTCTTCTTGAAAACCCACTGGCTTCATGCCGGTCTTTACGTCTCCTAATAATTAGGATTGGAATTATGGTAAGAAACTATCAAGTGAAAAAAGAACTAATGTTTCAGAGAAATGCTTGCAGTGTGAATTACATTACTAGCTCCTCATCTGCATTTCATATAATGCTTTATCAGCTAAGATGTCTCTTATAAGCAAACTGCCTTTCGTTTGTTTTGATTGATTCTTTCCGGTTTTCACATTTTCTGCTTTCATCCTTTATAGAACACATCATTTTTTAAACACTAGATGGGGTTCAATCCTCCAACAGACATTCACACTTTCATGCTGAAATCAAGTCATTGGGAATGCACAGAAATGAAGATCTGCACATGTAGATCTGTTTGCGGACCAAACCCCAGATTTAGGTGGTTGCAATGGAAGAAACGCAGGATGAAATTACTAGGAAGGTAACGGAAGACCATGGCTGATTGTCTTGCTTTGAACAGTATGCCTACCGCTTTACTGGTTTTCTGTTACAAAGATTAAGAATGGGAGTACTTGTGCCACCTTAGAGACTACTCATGAAAGCTAATGCTCAGATAAATTTGTTTATCTCTAAGGTGCCACAAGTACTCCTTTTCTTTTTGCAGATACAGACTAACACGGCTGCTACTCTGAAATTTATTAGAACATAAGCTTTTGTGGGCTACAGCCCACTTCATCGGATGCATAAAATGGAAGATATAGTAAGATTGTGTGTATATATATACACATACATATACATACACATACACACACAGAGATAAGTTTGAAGTTACCATACAAATTGTGAGAGGCTAATTAGTTAAGATGAGCTATTATCAGCAGGAGAAAAAAACTTTTGTAGTGATAATCAAGATGGCCCACTTGGACAGTTGACCAGAAGGTGTGAGGATACTTAACATGGGGAAATAGATTCAATATGTGTAATGACCCAGCCACTCCCAGACTCTAGTCAAACCCAAGTTAATGGTATCTAGTTTGCATATTAATTCAAGCTCAGCAGTTTCTCAATGGAGTCTGTTTTTGAAGCTTTCTGTTGCAATATTGCCACCCTTAAATCTTTTACTGAGTGGCTAGAGAGGTTGAAGTGCTCTCCCCCCGGTTTTTGAATGTTATGATTCCTGATGTCAGATTTGTGTCCATTTATTCTTTTGCATAGAGACTGTCCGGTTTGGCCAATGTACATGGCAGAGGGGCATTGCTGGCACATGATGGCATATATCACATTGGTAGATGTGCAGGTGAATGAGACCCTGATGGCGTGGCTAATGTGATTAGGTCCTATGATGGTGTCACTTGAATAAATATGTGGACAGAGTTGGCATCGGGCTTTGTTGCAAGGATAGGTTCCTGGGTTAGTGTTTTTGTTGTATGGTTGCTAGTGAGTATTTGCTTCACGCTGGGGGGTTGTGTGCCACAAGTACTCCTGTTCTTTTTGTGGATACAGACTAACACGGCTGCTACTCTGAAACCAAAGATTAAGAACATCACCATGGTTCAGTCAGTCAAAACATTCACCATGTATAAATCTCAAATCGGTGAAAACGTAGATTAGTAAAATAAAAATATCTGTTTTGACCTTAGGGTCATGTTTTAAGTCATGTAATATCTGCATGTACTTTAATACAATCTTAAATGAGGATCATGACAGCCCAGATTGTGGTCTTTTAAGAAAGAAAAAAGTAGATACTTGTAAGTCATTTACAAATATTACACAACAGCCTCAAAAACAAAGGGGAAAAAACTCCCATCCCCAGCACTAGCCATGAAAATTGTGCTAACAGAGGTTAGTTAGAATAGAGGTCCCACAATTAGGTATCATTGAGGCACCTGACAATACTCTCAAGAGACTCTCTGTATTAAAAAGCAAATATCCCCAAATATATTTTCTAGAGACTGCACCATACAAATACTTGTGTTGCCGCAACAATGCATCCCTGCTTAGTGCAGACTTGGTTATTGAAACACATTCTAGAGTAATCTCGTATTCAAGTCTCATGACATAAAATCATTTTTTGAAGATGGTTTGTTTCCTGAGGTTGTAGAGCAGTGGTAGGCAACTTGCAGCCTGCCAGCTGCACGTGGCCTGCCAGCGGATTAACCCGCGTGCGGCCCACGAGACAGTGTTTACATTGACCGCCCGCAGGCACGGCCACCCACAGCGCCCAGTGGCAACGGTTCACCGTTCCTGGCCAATGGGAGCTGCGGGAAGCGGCAGCCAGCACGTCCCTGAGGCCCGTGCTGCTTCCTGCGGCTCCCATTGGCTGGGAATGGAGAACCACGGTCCCTGGGAGCTGTGGGCGGCCGTGCCTGCAGGCGGTCAATGTAAACACTGTCTCATGGCCCGCCAGCGGATTACCCTGACAGGCTGCATGTGGCCCGCAGGTTGCCCACCACTGTTGTAGAGCCATCAATATTCATTATGTATTTATTCCCTCTCTTTTGTTGGGTTTCCAGAAAAATAAGAAGGAGCCCTGGCAATCAATGGTGAAGCTGTAGGTAAGGGTACATCTAACTCTGCAGCTGGAGGTGTAATTTCTGGTTTGGGTAGATGAACACGTGCTAGCTTTGATCAAGATAGTATCTAAAAATAGCAGTATAGCCATGGCAGCATGGGCGGGGCAGCCAGCCACCCTGAGTACAAACCTACTCAGGACCCTCAGTACTTACTCCAATAGCTAACCTGTCCAGCCACACCTGCTTTTAGCATGCTAGCTCACTCAAAGCTAACCATCTAACCAAGCTGGAAACTACCCCTCCAGCCTGAGTGTAGAATTACCTTAAGGTTAATTCAGATTTCAGTGACCCTTTGACCCCAAATAAGGAACAGCATGAAAGGGCCTCAGAGAGTCCCAGGTTGTCCTCTTTCACTGGAAGGATGGCGATCATGACTAAAAGAAGAGGAAGCAGTCTACTTGACCAGAAAGGTGGAGGGAATTAGCAGAAGTAGGACCTAGGTTATCCCTCTTGTAACTTCATTGACTACAGAGGACACACATCATGGAGGAATTTGGCCCATTAATCCTACTAATAAAGCTGGACATGTTTTCAATATTGTATTGAAATAGCAGGGAAAACACCTGCCAGATATCCAATAAGATTAATCAGCTACTAATTTAAAATACACTATCATACAGGAACCAAGGAGCTGTAGAGTAAATGCTTATTTTAATGACACCAATGCTTTTACCTGGATTGAGGAATATTTTCTCTCATGCTTTGAGAAGCCACAAATAACAATATGCAATTAACTTCTTTTAACTGAATGCTGAATAAAAAAGTGTCCCATCTCAGGAACCGAAACTAAAGTCTTACTTTTCTCTTTCTTCAATCTCTTTTTGCCTCTCCAGCTCACGCTGTCTTTGTCGTTCCTCCCTCTGGCGTTTTACTACTTTCTCATAATCATTGGGAAACATAGGATCATATTCATCAGCCAAAGGAATCAGCACATCTCCTGCAGAAAAACCACTAGGTACGGGATCCTTACACAGAAAAAGCATAAATATCAATGTGATCAGACACCTAAGAGCAGCAGTTGGAATAAGCCAGCTGTTTTTACCACTACCAACAAATAAGTTTAATATCTTCAGACTGCTTAGATAGAAAGTGAAATCCTAGTCTGAGTGAAGTCAATGGGAGTTTTGCCATGGACTTCAATGGCAAAGGTTTTACCCTATGTCACTTTCCGCTCAATTTTTTGTGTGCAGAAAACAACTATCCCACCCACTCCCTTCCAAACAAGCATAGCTAAGGTCACATTAATACCCAATAAGTTCTCTATCCAAAACTACAGCCTGCTTGCGTAGGGCTGGGAGGGGTGCTTGAAAGAAAACTGTGAGCTTGTATCCATCTGTCTGCTACTATATTAAGGATTGACATCCTCAACCCTTCTTATTCCATCTGAAAGGAATATCTGCTCTGGAGATTAGATTTCTTCTGTTTGTTATAAAAGACCACTTCCAAGCATGATAGGATCGCAATTTAATTTTTTCCCCCCAACCTACCTACCTCACAGGGTTGCTTGCAAAGTGCCCTGAACTCCTCAAAAGAAAGGTGCTATGTAAACGCATACTTTTTAGTTCAATTAAGAACACTAAGGGTTTGTCTACATGGTGAGGTAATGCACTCTATAGGGCTATGATTTCTAAAGTGCACTGATGAGTTGCACATTAATTGGCCTGTGTATACTCTCCTAGTGCACACTAAAGGTTCCTTACTGTAGTTGAACTATGGAAAAGTGCACCAACAGGGTTTACACGGGCCAAATGATGTGCAACATGTCAGTGACCTTTAGAAATCACATTCCTGTAGAGCACATAATGCCCCCTACCCCGCCATGTAGACATGCCCTCAGTAGTCTATATATTTATAGACTGTAGCACCGGGAGAAGTTTGCATACATTTGGAATTTTCGTGATTGAAAATAAGTCTGAACAGAAGAGAGGCTAAAAGCAAGAAGAACAGTTGAGACCAGTAAGACAAGTAAATTAATAAGTAAAATGCAGACTACTACAGAAGGCAGAGAAAGAAAACGAGAATTCAGAATCAGATGTAATCTGCTGTGTTTTTAAGCTGATCTAGCCTTACCTTTAACCCAGCAGCTACATGAGGTGGCGTGTCTACAATCTGTCTGTCATCAGAAGAGCTCCCTCGCTTCAGGTCAATCACTGGAGCAAGGACTGTCGTTTGTTTTGTTCTCTGACTCTGAAACCATCAAAATACAAAAAAAGCAGAAGACAATACCCCCTTTTAAAAAAATGAATGTATTTACTTCATATTCCTAAACTAGATGTTTCTTGATTTCAAGAAAGCTTAAAATTGGATGAATATCGTCTCAGGCCTCAATCCTGCCTCTCTGCCCCATGCAAAACTTACCATACCACTTGCATTTTCATTTTACCAACATATAGTCCTTCCTCAGCATTTCTAACCGTGCTTGAAGTTGTGATTGTTCATTTCATATGTTATTTATGCACCAGCACAATGGGTCACAATACAGCTCTATGGCTAAAGTTTATTGACTGCCGCTGTAAAGCTTATACAGGAACACAGATCCTTCATAAACCTTAACGGGCTTGATCCTACCCGACTGAATTCAATAGGAGTTTTGCCATTAACTTCAATAGGAGCAGGATCAGACCGGAAATGTGTTTGGTTTTCTAAGTCTAGAACTGAAAATATACCTTTAAAATTGAGAGAATCTCCTCAGTGAAGAGCTTTGTTTGAATAAGAGCAGCAGAATAGGTCTTTTCTTTCACTAAAGTCCTGTTGGTTTTCACATTTCACCATGAGGAAAATAGAACTTTCTAAAAACAGGATTAATACATTCTTATATATATAGTTGGATGGGTTTCCAAGGAAAGACAGACAGATTGGTACATCGTGCCTCAGAACCACACAGAAGGGGGTGCTTTAAAAGATCACATCTATCAGTTGTAGCCTTATTTCAGGTTTCATTTGTACAAAACTCGTAAATTAAGGACCAAATTCTGCTCTCAATTACAGCAGCATAAATCTGGAGTAATTGCACTGATTTCCACAAGGGTAACCGAAAACAGGATTTAGCCCCCAAGAAAGGATTTTACTATTTAAAAGTTTAACTATATTTTTCCCTCTTCTAATTGATCTTCTTTGCACCAGAAACTATGGAGACTGACAGCAGCAGCCTGTGACTGAAGCACACGAAAAATACATTCATTCATGCATCAACAAAAGAAGTAGGACAATAATGATGTCATGTTGCAATATATTGAGAGAGGACAGCTTGGTACAAACTTGCTTCTTCATTTTCCCTGAAGGAGTTAGTTTATACTTTCTCTGCCTTCCTTTCAGCCTTCTAAGTGGACTGGAAATATTCTCAGCAGCAATTTCTGACCTGACTGGCAATACCAGGAATCACACCGCTGCCTCTGGCGGCTTTTAAAATGATAAGCAAGAAATGATGCAAGTTGGCCAACAACAACAGTTACCAAATACCAAGCAGCACAAAAAATTGAACATCTCCAATTTCCCATCAAAGGCTGAACCAGCCTTGCCTATTCACTTATTTTTAAAATACTTAAGTACCCAATTTAATGTCTTCAGGGTTAAATTTGAGCTCCACATCAACACTTAATTATTTATTTAAGAAATGAGAGCAGTTCCCACAGCCATGCTGTGCATATATTAATTATGCTATACTTTATATGAAGGGTCTCAGAGAACTTATACCACTTTGTTCTCGCTTCTACTGCATACTCCTGGGGGAATTTCGTGTCACTGCATGCACACAGAATTCATGGCCCCCACAGATTTCTTTGCTTCCCTGCAGAAAAATGACTTCTGACAGGGAAGCAAAGGGAAGCCACAAGAGCACTCCTGCACTCACTCCCCAGCAGTGCAGGCAGGTCAGTTTGGACACCCATAGCAGCCGGTAGAGACATAAATCACCGTGGGAGGGAGGGGTGGGCAGGGCAGTCGTGTGTGAGAGAGAGACACTGTGTCCCTCTCACTCGCTATTGCAGGATGCTCGGCGTGGAGGGGCAGGGCTTTGGGGTGTTTTTGAAGAGGCAGGCGTGGGGCAGGCTCTGTTCCCTCAGGCAGAGCAGCCTGCCTGCTTAGCGAATTGTTCCCATTGTTCTTAGTGAATTCCCCCAGGAATATAAAAGTTTTAAGGCTCCTTTACATTGCCAGAGTGGTGTAAAGGAGCTTTATTGTAAAGGAAGTACGACCTTATAAATGCTTATGGTGCTTTAGTGATTAGAACTAGTCTAAATGCTTGGACTAAAAAAATTTCCTATCAAAATGTGCTCCATGAACTGTTTGCTACTGACCTTTTTGGAGATGGTCGGTAGCCAGTATAAATTGTGAGTTTGAGTACTCAGTCCTCACTTGCTCTTCAGTTGCCTACGATGTAACACTGAGCATATGGCTGCATATATTTGTTGACTAATATCTAAAAGTAAAGGGTCAATACTAGCTACATTACTATTAGACAGAAGGGGTTTGGTGATTTCCTCCAATGCTCCCCACTCCCATTCTCCATCCATTGTATTGCAGTTTAAATAAATTATCAACATATTTGAAGCTAGCTTGATTATATTGTGGTATTTTGACAAAAAATATGCAGAATTTTAAAATATGGTGCGCAGAATTTTTAATTTGGCGCAGAATTCACCAGGAGTATTCTTCTAGTGCTGCCCACTACCAACTGAAGGACAAAGCCTGACAATGCATCCAAAAGTCTGTACAGCTGGGAATGTACACTCCGCAGCGTGCTCAGTACAAAGGAAATCCTACTAAGACCAGCATTTCAGGAGAAAAATTTAAAAAGACAGCATTCCCTATGGCCAGCAACCTTGAGCCATCGGGAGCAGCAATATCTGTACCTTTGCTTGAGTGAGAGCCGCCTTCTTCACCTGCAACTGAGACTGCAGTAGTTTGAAATTTTTGGACCAGCCTTCTGTTTTCGAATCGCTGGTTTCCACTCCCAGGTCATCATAAAGTGACATTTTCCCCTTCCGGTTAAAACTAAAAGACAAAAGAAAAGTTAGGCTGAATTAATAATTTTAATAACATTAGACATAAATAGTTAACTAAATATTATTTTGGAAACATTTGGACTCCAAGGTGTTGGGGGGGGGCAGGGTTCTGTTTTTTTAAAAGAAATATTAAAGATCAACAGACCTACAGTAAATTTCCTTTCCAAAACAAGGGCAAATTATGAAAAAATAGCAAAATATTAGTCCCTAATTTTTTTTTCCGCCCAGACAGTGGTACTTGTGTCTGTCTCTCTCATAAAGGCCATAGGGCAACAAAACAAGTTACCATTCAAAAAGCTGTGCAGTGCTTCCATAAATGTCCCCCAGGTATCAAGTGATATTAGACATTTTCTAATATTACATCTGTGGTGTTAGATGTGGTGGATTCACCATCACTCAAAACTTTTAAATCAAGACTAGCTGTATTTTTAAAATGTACACCACAGCTAAAACAGAAGTTACGGCAGGAGTGGTGAAACTACGGTCCGCACCACGCTTGAGGTCAGCGCCACTCGAAGCCAGCACCCCTGAGCCTCTCCCCACGACCCAACCCCCAGCCTTGATCCCCCTCCCGCTCTCCAAACCCCTCGATCCCAGCCCAGCGCACCCTCCTGCACCTCAAAGTCCTCATCCCCAGCCTCACCCCAGAGCCCGCCCCCCACCCCATTTTTGTGAGCATTCACGTCCAGCCATACAATTTCTATTCCCCAATGTGGCCCTCGGGCCAAAAAGTTTGCCCACCCCTGAGTTACGGGCTGAAACTACTGGGTGAGTTCCCGTGGCATCATGCAGGTCACACTAGATGATCATAATGTCTTAAAATCTATGCCTATAAGTAGATTTTTAAATTTAACTCTTCCTGCTACACCTGAGAACTTTTTTGTATCATCCTACTAAGTAAAAAGCCAATATCCTTCTACACTAATTAGGTTTGCCAAAATATCACCTGACATTTCCATAGCACACAAAGGCCCCCCAAATGCCTAATTATAGACAATAAAAATCCATAACATCAACAGCATGGGGAAAAAAACACTCTCCATGTGATGTTACACCTGAATTTGAAAAGGATTCAGGCAAAAGTTATCACCCCCAGGCCTGCAGCCAACCACCTCAGCTGCATGAAGAGATCTCAGCCTACTGTCATCAGTAACATGTTCTAGTCTTGGGCCTCTCACTATTAAGGTCTTGATCCTGCAATCAGATCCATGCAGTGGAGCCCTAATGACAGAGGAGCAAGGATTTTCCTGTGTGGAACCAACGGCAGGATTGAAGCCAAAGTGACATTTATGCCATGTGATGATTGACAGAAAAATGAGGACCCAGAGTAGGACTGTACAGGAAAAGAGAAGAGGCTATATTGCATCAAGATATGTTATACCTATTGAAGTCCCCAAAAAAGCCACGGGAAAGCATGAATGCAGTCCCTCACTACTACAAATTATAGTCGAGTTTCTCCTATTTGGGGAAATCGCAGAGGTCAGCAGACCCGCAGTGCAGTGGATGACCCTCACCCAGAGAAAACCACCTTCATGATCACGACAATAGTCAGAACGGACCATCATCCAACATTATTCAGCTTCATGTTAATTTTGATGCATTGCTCCTAACAATCTGATCATTCAAATACATTGGGACTCCGAGCCCTGGTGGTATTGTTATACAACTCACTGGAAGTGGCTAGCATAATTTACGTTTAATGCTGTGCTCTTAGAGGCGGTGCGTGAACACTTTGAAGCGCATAACAAATAAACTAGTGATTATACAGTCAATCAAAGATCATGTAACAAAGTTCACGGCACACAGAAAACTGATTTCATCTTGCACTGGGATGGAAATAAGGGGGTCAACTGGGGCAGAGCACACTGCATAGAAACAGATGGGAATTTTCGCTGGGGCTATTGCTATTGTTTGTACTGCAGTAGCCCCCGAAAAGCCAGTATCAGGATCACTTGGCCACATGTAAACACACAACCGGGGGTGACCCCTGCCTGAGGAGTCTACAACACTTAACACCAGTAGTGAGACAGACAGGAATGGAGGGAAACGGTGACAAACCCCAGTTCTGAGGGGAAGGGCCACAGGCACTGGCCCCTGAACAGAGCTGAGAACGTCTCAGTCACTGAAGTCTTACATAAAGACCCTCACAGTTTAAGATGTATGAAGGGTGAAGGGCTGGGTCGATGCCTGACTCTGTGGCAGGAGCTTACAGTGACACAGCCATTCAGGTCCACTCCCGCAGCGCTGGACCACAAGCCATCACCCAATCGTCACCCCCCCAAGCCTGCAGCCAACCAGCCCAGCTGACTGGACCTGGCCACCCCCTTGGTCCCCAGAACAGGCCTGGCCCTGGGAGCTGCTGACAGAGCCGCTCTTCAAGCCTGAAAGCCCCCGTCCAAGCCTCCTAAGCAGCTCACCAGCCCCTCCAGCTGGCTGGGCCTGGTGCCCCCCGATCTATAGCCCAGCCCCCCATAACTCCTCCCGATCTACCCCCAACAACCCGCATGCTGGCCTGCCCCAGAAACCCCCTAAACTACCCCATACCCCTGAATTACCCCACCCCCCCAAACCTCCCACCTTACCGCCCACAGCCCCTGGGCTGGCCCAGCCCCCCATGCACCGCCTGATCTGCCCCCCAGGAACCCCCTAAACTACCCCATAACCCCTGAATTACCCCCCCTGAACCTCCCACCCTACTTCCCACAGCTCCTGGGCTGGCCCAGCCCTCCATGCACCTCCCGATCTGCCCCCCAGGAACCCCCTAAACTACCCCATAACCCCTGAATTACCCCCCCCCGAACCTCCCACCCTACCCCCCACAGCCCCTGGGCTGTCCCAGCCTCCCATGCACCGCCCGATCTGCCCCCCAGGAACCCCCTAAACTACCCCATAACCCCTGAATTACCCCCCCCCGAACCTCCCACCCTACCCCCCACAGCCCCTGGGCTGGCCCAGCCCCCCATGCACCGCCCGATCTGCCCCCCAGGAACCCCCTAAACTACCCCATAACCCCTGAATTACCCCCCCTGAACCTCCCACCCTACCCCCCACAGCCCCTGGGCTGGCCCAGCCCCCTATGCACCTCCTGATCTGCCCCCCAGGAACCCCCTAAACTACCCCATAACCCCTCAATTACCCCCCCCGAACCTCCCACCCTACCCCCCACAGCCCCCCATAATCTACCCCTCCACAACCCCCGGAATTACCCGCGGCCCCCCGCCATGAAGCCCCCGAGCGGGCCCTGCCCCCCACCCCGGAAACGGGGCCTCCCGGCGCGGCCTAACGCCCCGGCCTCGCGTAGCGCCGGGGACCGCTCACCCCGGCAGAGCCCGCCAGCGCACCGCCGCCGAGCAGGCAGGGAAAGGCTGTGGCCGGCTAGGGCGCCCGAGCCGCGCCGTACGCGGCCGCTGCGCAAACCCCGTACGTAAGCTGCGTGAACTCGGTCCGCCGGGGGAGCGAGGATAAGAAGTACGCAAACTCCGTAAAGGGGCGGCAGGGCGAGATCGGCGCAGAGGGAGAGCTGGCGACGGGGAGGCGTTCCCCAAAACGCGGAACTGCGCGAACGTCGTATCTTAGGGGCGGTGTTCCGCAAATGACGTAATGTGGCCATAGAGAGCGCAGCCGAAGGCACTGGCCCACTGCTGACCCCTAGCGTTGGCACCCTGATATTGCATGAAGAGGGGAAACCCACAACCGCTGCAACAAGTTGGTCCAGTGAGACAGGAGGACTCGTGGCACCTTAGAGACTAACCAATTTATTTGAGCATGAGCTTTCGTGAGCTACAGCTCACTTCATCGGTTGCATACCGTGGAAACTGCAGCAGACTTTATATACACACAGAGAATATGAAACAATACCTCCTCCCACCCCACTGTCCTGCTGGTAATAGCTTATCTAAAGTGATCACTCTCCTTACAGTAAGAAAAGGAGGACTTGTGGCACCTTAGAGACTAACCAATTTATTTGAGCATGAGCTTTCGTGAGCTACAGCTCACTTCATCGGATCATACCGTGGAAACTGCAGCAGACTTTATATACACACAGAGAATATGAAACAATACCTCCTCCCACCCCACTGTCCTGCTGGTAATAGCTTATCTAAAGTGATCACTCTCCTTACAGTAAGAAAAGGAGGACTTGTGGCACCTTAGAGACTAACCAATTTATTTGAGCATGAGCTTTCGTGAGCTACAGCTCATGCTCAAATAAATTGGTTAGTCTCTAAGGTGCCACAAGTCCTCCTTTTCCTTTCGCGAATACAGACTAACACGGCTGTTACTCTGAAACCTCTCCTTACAATGTGTATGATAATCAAGTTGGGCCATTTCCAGCACAAATCCAGGTTTTCTCACCCTCCCCCTCCCCCCAAAAACACACACACACACAAACTCACTCTCCTGCTGGTAATAGCTTGTCCAAAGTGACCACTCTCCCTACAATGTGCATGATAATCAAGGTGGGCCATTTCCAGCACAAATCTACCCCCCACCCCCATACACACACAAACTCACTCTCCTGGTGGTAAGAGCCCATCCAAACTGACCACTCTCCCTACAATGTGCATGATAATCAAGGTGGGCCATTTCCAGCATAAATCCAAGTTTAACCAGAACGTCTGGGGGGGGGGGGTAGGAAAAAACAAGGGGAAATAGGCTACCTTGCATAATGACTTAGCCACTCCCAGTCTCTATTTAAGCCTAAATTAATAGTATCCAATTTGCAAATGAATTCCAATTCAGCAGTTTCTCACTGGAGTCTGGATTTGAAGTTTTTTTGTTTTAAGATAGGGACCTTCATGTCTGTAATTGCGTGACCAGAGAGATTGAAGTGTTCTCCGACTGGTTTATGAATGTTATAATTCTTGACATCTGATTTGTGTCCATTTATTCTTTTACGTAGAGACTGTCCAGTTTGACCAATGTACATGGCAGAGGGGCATTGCTGGCACATGATGGCATATATCACATTGGTGGATGTGCAGGTGAACAAGCCTCTGATAGTGTGGCTGATGTTATTAGGCCCTGTGATGGTGTCCTCTGAATAGATATGTGGGCACAGTTGGCAACGGGCTTTGTTGCAAGGATAGGTTCCTGGGTTAGTGGTTCTATTGTGTGGTATGTGGTTGTTGGTGAGTATTTGCTTCAGGTTAGGGGGCTGTCTGTAGGCAAGGACTGGCCTGTCTCCCAAGATTTGTGAGAGTGTTGGGTCATCCTTCAGGATAGGTTGTAGATCCTTAATAATGCGTTGGAGGGGTTTTAGTTGAAGTCACCTATTACAGGAAAGGCCTAACAAAGAAAATAACAGAACGCCACTAGCCGTCACCTTCAGCCCCCAACTAAAACCCCTCCAACACATTATTAAGGATCTACAACCTTAATTAAACCTTAATTAAACCTAAAGGAGAGTGGGGTGGGAGGAGGTATTGTTTCATGGTCTCTGTGTATATAATGTCTTCTGCAGTTTCCACAGTATGCATCCGATGAAGTGAGCTGTAGCTCACGAAAGCTTATGCTCAAATAAATTGGTTAGTCTCTAAGGTGCCACAAGTACTCCTTTTCTTTTTGCGAATACAGACTAACACGGCTGTTACTCTGAAACCAGTGAGACAGTGGTTCTCAGCCAGAGGTCTGGGGTCCCCTGGGGGGCCGCGAGCAGGTTTCAGGGGGTCTGCCGAGCATAGCCGGCATTAGACTCGCTAGGGCCCCGAGCAGAAAGCTGAAGCCCCGTCGCGCAGGACTGCAACCCGGGGCCCTGAGCCCCACCACCTGGGTCTGAAGCCACAGCCTGAGCAACTTAGCTTCACGGTTGCCCCTTGTGGTGTAGGGCCTGGGGCAATTGCCCTGCTTGCTACCCCCTGATACCGGCCCTGGCTTTTATATGGAGAAAAACAGTTCTTGTGGTACAGATGGGCCATGGGGTTTTTTATAGCATGAGGGGAGAGAGCGGCTCAGAAAAAAAAAGTTGAGATCCTCTGCAATAAAAGATATTACCTCACCCAGCTTGTCTCTCTAATGTCCTTGCAAGAGGAGCCCGTGTGAGTGTGAGATCGAAGGGGAACAGGCTTCCCAAACCTTACACACACTAAACACAGGGATCACCTCACCCAGCGCTGCCATACAGGCCTTGCCAGCTTGACCCCGGGTCCCAGGAAATCGCAAAGGCAGCATTGCCAACTCTCATGACTGGCTTGCGACTCTTGGGACCCACTGTCACAATGATGCGAGAAGCTCCTTGCATCCTGCAATGATCAGGGCTGCCCCCCGCAGCAACAGCTGCTTTTCTCTGACTCCCCTCCCCTGCCTCTTGCTGCCCCAGGGATTGTCCTCTGCCCAGAGCCTACTGTGATCACGCTTCCCAGCACAGCACTGCTGGGGCTCTGGTAACCGAGAAGCCTGGCGCAGCAGGAGGCAGGGGAGAGTTGGGGAACCATTGCCAAGTCCCAGGGCAGCAGACGGCAAGGATGTGGCAGTCTCAGGGAAATGCTGCCCAGTCCCTGGCAGAGAAGTCCCAAGACAGTGAGAGGGGGACTGCAGAAGTGCTTCTGAGTCCTGGACAGATCCTGATTTTTGATCCCTTGAGGTTGACAATACTGCAAACATCCCTTTTTTCCCCAGGCCCTGTTGGTTGCTTTGTCCTGATTTTTGTAACCATCCCCTGGCGAACTTGAGTCTAAGGAGTCACTTCGCAGCTGGGTTAGCAAGAGTTGCATAAGAGCCCTAGTCTTCTCATGTGTGGGCATCCTACCAGCTCCACTTCCAAGCCCCCAGTGTTCTGCAATCAACTCCTTGAACCATCCCTATCTCTATCCCACACACATAGCTAGTCCCATGGGACACTAGCAAAGGGGGGTGGGGGCTACCTGGAAGGAGAAGTGGGTTCCCGTTTTTCACCCTCTGATGCACACCTCCTTGAGACTGACCAAAACCACCCCCTCATTCATGCTCTATGGCAGATGCCCTGGTTTTCACTTTGCAACTCTGGGAAGCAGGAGTAGCTTGGGGACCTCAGCAGCAACACAGTGATATAGGTGCGTGTTTCCCTGTGCTCCTACCCTGCTCCTCCTTTTTTGCCTTGTGCAACATTCTGCACCTGCACTGTGGGGGGAATCAAGCCCTTTGTGCATGTAAAGCACATGAGTGTTATGTCACCCACTAATGGTTGGCCCACAGGGAGGACAAGGGACTTACTATTACAGCTAGCAAGGGGACATGTCCTTGAGTAGAGAGGCCTGTGTTTTTGAAGAAGGCCCGTGGGCCTTGTCCAGCTCCACCAGTGGGTGTAATTTGTCTTGTACGGATGTGGTGGTGCCCGCTATAGGTGGATTCGTTACAAGCTTCCTTCCAGTCTCTTTAATAGATGCATCGTGCACAGCTCGCAGAGATCACAGATACACCTTGCGTAATATTATCCCAATAACTGCCTGGCAGAAAGAGGGTGTCTGAAAGAGATGACAGAGCAGGGGCGTTCTTGTACAGTGTCTGCCTCCAGCTTTGACTCCTCTAGCCAGACAGTGACGGGAAAATAGCTTCGATCTTTGAGAAAGGAACAAAACCAGGGTTTTTTAATCACTGGAATCAATAAAAACAAAATAGATTCTGTTCCTTGTTTTCTCTTGATTTTTTAAAATAATATTTGATGGTAATACAATATCCCCCAGCTCAGCTAAGGGATGCTTGAAAAATGAAATGACACACTAAATAACGCAGCTTCTTCAAACTCATTTGAGAAGAATTCTCTGGGTACTGAGAGAGAGAAACTGAGCCCAGAATATCTTGTCCAGAGGCTGATTAAGGGTTCGTGGGGCCCTGGGCCAGAGCAATCGGGGGCCCTGCCCCACCCCTTCCGCCTGCAGTCAGAAGCCCTTGCACCCCGACCCCACTCCCTGGCAGCACCCCTGTCTTTGTAATATAGAACACAAGAAACCACCCATATTTGATTGTGCTGTCACCAGGTTTATACTTCTATTAAACAACATCTAGTTCTTCAGCCTACGTTTGAGCCCAAGCACACATAGGAACACCTGCTGCACTACAGTAATAGTGAAATAGTCACTATTTCAAACTATATTGAGTGGGTTTTGTCCTTATACCGACATACTTGTGTAACTTTGCCACATGGCCTTATTTTGGGCCTGATCCAAAACCCACTGAACTCAGTTGGAATCTTTCCACTGACTCAGATGAGCACTGGACCATGCCATAGGTATGTGTTATATGAAACAGTATCAAATTATAATACCAGCACTGGGTATTAACACTAGCAATCCCACATTTACAGTATCGATTCTGAAATTCATGTAACACCCATTTGGGGTTTTCCAGATCCTAGAGCTCTGGTCTGAGCCTCTAGATCAGAGGTCCCCAAACTGTGGAGTGCACCCGCCTAGGGGAGGAACATCCATGTGTGCGGCGGGGCCCGGGCCAGCCTCCATGGGGATGGGGAGGGAGCGATCCCCAGCCCCTCCCTGCCCCAAGTTCTGCTCCGGTCCTGCTCCCAGC